CTCTCTCTCTCTCTCTCTCTCTCTCTCTCTCTCTCACATGCACTCACTCATCCGCCCACTAACCCACTCTTTATCTCTCTCTCTCGCTCTATTTCTCCGTAGCTTGAGATTCTACAAGGTCCGGGCGAGACGGTGTTTGTTCCCGGTGGATGGTGGCACGTGGTTGTCAACATGGACAACACGATTGCCGTCACGCAGAACTACGCCAGCTCCGCAAACTTCCCTATCGTCTGGCACAAGACTGTTCGCGGTCGCCCCAAGCTCTCGAAAAAGTGGTACCGAATACTGCAGGTGTGTACAGCAGTCAACCAACATGCAAAGATTCTGAAGAAAAAAATATCTACATACCAGAGTGTTGATGTGCATTGATCATGCAGCATAGATTCATCACTCATTCGTGCACAGTGACAATCAAATTTCGAAATCAACTTATTATGAGGTGTAAATGTAAATAATAGTGTAGAGTTATCAATCAAAGATATGGTAGTATATCGTATAATAATTGTTATTTACTCTTGTAATAACTGAATTTGCCAGTAGATGGCGTAGACAGTAGGCCCAAATAAGCATTGCTCAAAATTAATTAAAAAAACTTTTCCACAAAATCAGTTTTCTAGACGTCTATAAGGCATCTGCCACATGTGTACACTAGAATGCTCTAATGACAAATATTACCAAGGCATGTCAGTGTTCGAAATAAGAGCTATCCTTTTGTCCTCACTTGTCCATTTCCACGGAGGACAAGTAGACCTGTCCAGTAGCTTTTTAGAGCAACTTTTTAGCGCAATTTTTCATCATTTTCTACCATTGCTTCAACTTTGTTAAGACAAGTAATAACTTTTAAAATAAATAATTGTGCTTCTTTATGTTCTTTCAAGTTTGGTGCCTAATTTGAACTGTTAGTGAACTGTATTAAAATTACAAAGTAAGATATTGGATCTAAAATTTAATTTGATTAAACGTATTACACATTTACTATATTTCTATGTTATTAATCAGGACATGCAAACATTTTGCAGGACAAGCAAAAATATCTTGTAGCTTGTCCGTCGGACAAGCAAAATTGTTTTCTTTATTTCGAACACTGCATGTAGAAAATGTCTTTTTTACACAGACAAGATTGTGCAATGGTGAACAATTGGTGAAAGGCTCCTATTATGTTCTACCCGTGTTTATGTATGACAGGAAAAGAGACCTGACCTGGCAGAGGTAGCGGCATCTATTGACCCCCAGCAAGAGACTGGATTCGGCTCAGACAGCTCGTCCGGGTCATCATCGTCGTCTTCGTCGTCATGTGGCAGTTGCTCTGGTTCCGATGAGGGCGACAGTGGCCAAGAGTCACTCCCAGAGCACAAGAAGAAAAGGTATGGGTCTGGGATTTTTTGTGTGCATATGCATTCGTCAATGTAGACACGTGGCCTCAAATAAGTGTAGGAACGTAATGATGTGTCCCTTGGATTTCTGCACTAGCGTGATTTTGTATGTAAACACAAGGCCTTTCATGGTTATGGAAGTTCAATATTATACACAGTAAGTTTTTGGCGTGGGTGAATTAGGTAAGTGTACATGCACGTTATTAATGTGTGTTTTACACATTTGCATTTGCTATGAATTTCTATGAATCTGTACGCAGGTGGTCTTAATGTGGCTGATAGGGTCTATGTCCCCCAGGGTACTGCCGGAACGTACCCTGGTACTAAATACTACTATCTAATATGCCGACCGTACGCTCGGCCTACTCCATTAACGAGTCTAGCGGAGTGCGCCTACGCCTACCCCTAACCCTAACCCTAACTCTAACCCTACCCTAACCCTAACCTACTCTAACTGCTCACATCAGGAGCGGGCCCAACCCACCTAACATATCAGCTAGATAGTTACCAGGGTACGTTCGGGTATACCGGACGCGTACCTATTACGTATCCGGCAGTACCCTGGGACATAGACCCTAATTGACCTTAATATGTGACATTAATATAATGGCCTAGATGCTATTCAACGGATATATTGATAATTTATTATAGATACTTCACTGAGGCACCGGAGAGCCACAGTCGTTCACGGCTCGTCCACAACCTAAACAGCCCGAAGTCGGAACACAAAGGTTGACAGTTGACGCGAATTGATCGTCACATGCTATACTTCAGGTGTACTCAGCTGTGCACATAAAAATGATTCAGAGAGACAGCATTGACAGCTTGATGTCCGATGTAGTCTGATATAGCGCTATCCGGTATTTGGTAGAGTCGGACTGTGCACAGAAGCAATTCTTACGTGTAAATGCGATTACCAACGAAGTAGTTCTGAACTGCTGTGGATAACTGATTACATAATGGTTTTTGGTCAGCTGTAGTTTTGTGCTTTATATGATTAACACGCATGTATCGTTTGTTTGATATTTTCAATTTAGAATGAGTAATGGTCGATGCTAAAATATTAATAAACACATGGGGGCCTGTGTGTGGTAAAAACTGTTCTGTCTAAGACCTCATGATAAGATTCACTTGAACTTCGTGAAAACGCCTGAACTGTTTATCCGATCGCCGAGTCCAGCCCCAAATTTTGATAAACTGAATTCTATAAAAATCGAAAGCGTAGTATAGTGGCAAGTTTTCATACGGTACACGTAATACAGTGCATACCAAAATATATCCACCAGTAGTGCATATAATTTTGATACTATGGCACTATTGCGGCTGCAGGTCATCGTGATATGCTGATTACTCGTGTATTTTTAATGCTTGTGTTGATTGCTAGATAAATTGGTCATGAGTCAAGGGCATCCGAAATCACGGCGGGGTTGTGCAAGGAAATAATGTGTTAAATGCGCCGATGTTTTTGTGATCTGTCATCTCTCAATTTTATTCCTGTCTGTGCTTATTAATTTTGCAATGCAGTAGAGTTTTTTTCGCATGAGTGCCAGCAGATAACGCTGATGGCTTGATGCTGCTACTTATATAATCTTTACGGCAGCGATGCACACTTGTCAATGTTTTGGCTACGAAGGAATTACATTAATAAATCTATCCATATTATCAGTTAAGCTGCCGTGTGTGTTTTTATAGCTATTATGTGAATGTGTTTTGTAAGCGGATTTTATTTAGCAATAATTGGAATCTACGAAAAATCATAGATTTCATTCCACTGTGTCTGACTATTTTCTTATTAAAACTTTATTAGGTTTTCACTTTGAAATAATAATGATGCGATAAATATTGTTGTTGTACAATATCTTCTACCCGTTTTATAACGTGAGCACGATACAACTACGTTCTGTCAATTGCGTAAAAACAGTTTGTGCTTAGTTTCGACAGAAAACACTATACGATGTTAGAATGCTCTAGAGATGGAAATTGGATTGCTAACTGTACCACCAGTTTGATGGTTTTTAGGTCATCTGACATATTCAGATGGCAGCTGTAGAATCGCATGAGCGGCGTACCGGCGCCGGTCCGATGTGTCCGTCGGCCGCCGTGCGCCCTTCCGTCACAGTTGGGTCACAAATTCTAAAACGCTCGACGTAACGGTCACGATATTCGGGACGTGGAGGGGTAAAAACGAGTTGGGATGTCGAAGGCTGGGGTCAAAGGTCAAAGGTCAAAAAGGTGTAAAGAAGGAAGCATTCCCCTCCTAACTTAAGGTATAGGGAGGAAATGCATAAATTGCGGCACAAATCTAAACTCAGCTCGACATAGGCCTCATGATAGTCGGTGTATAGCATCATGGTAGGAAAAGCCATCACTGTGCCGAAATTGAGGTCAAAGGTCAATGGGCACAGGCAGATTTTATACATTTTCTGATGACATGGTCTGAACGGAGCGATTGAAAAACTTTTTGTTTCAGGCGGTGACCTAGGCAATTTTTATGGCTTCATTGAAAGGTCCATGAAATGTACTTTCTGCTGACATGCGAAGAGTAAGTGTCGGATAACCTTTTGACCCTCAAGAGGAGGGTTAAACATTGATTTGTTGACTGTTAACAAAGGACTAAACCCATACCTGTGTGAATGCGAGGCTACAGTTGCACAGTTAATTGCAAAGGCAAATGTTGTGTTGAACAAGGTTTACGCTCCTTAAATCATAATTATTTCTAAAGCAGTCTGTCTATAGCACCCTGAAGGCTGAATCGGTGAATGCTCGCGTGAGTAGGAAAAACACACGGGGGCAGCTCATGGCTGCGCACGCTTCTTAATCATAATTGTTGCCTGCCAACTGCAATGGCACATGTGTCTGACAATGCATAGAGATTAGGTGGGTGCGAAAGTGATAGCTGATATATTTGTTCAATTGGCTAGAAAGTCAAACAATATAAAGAAACTTTATGTATAAGACGTCCTTGCTATGCACAAATTATTTTATCAGCAGAACACCAGACACCAGATGAGCCCTGTCGCACTGCGGCACTTGTCCATTATTTGCATGGCGGTATCATACTGCTTGTGTCTCAGCAACATTATCCTTACGCTTTCTACATCACGTCCTATACCAGAACTGATGTATTAAGTAGCTGTAGCAGCATGCGAGTAGTAGACCCCATATGCGCGCACATCATGTCTGCTTGTGTGCCAGCCACGTTAGAAATATCGATCGAATATCAATAACAAAATCTACATAATTTCGAATAAAATGGGGGAAAAATTATCATAATAAAATCGATCGATTGATAAAATATATCGATCAAATCGATGAAAACGTGGCCTCTTCATTACATTCTCGCTGAAGCAGGCTGGTGAGAAATAAAGTAGAGCTACAAGTACAATAAACCATGAATAAAGTAACGCATAGTAATAAAATAAAATAAATGTAACACATTCTAAATATTTCTAACCACGTCGCATTACCTATCCGTAGACATGAATCCCATACCACATTACCTACCCGTAGACATTGGAATATTGTCATATCCTTGTAGTCGTTTCTGTGATTAGCAGCATTTACATAATTACATAATGTGGTTATATACAATAACACATAACTGTGATAAATTACAACCACTCTAATTATTTGGCCGAGGAATTCGCTTCCGTATATCAGTGGCAAAGGTGAGGATGGGGATTTAGGAAGAGGTCCTGGAGAAATACAAGAGAGAGAGATGGCGCGCGGCACGGAGCAAGAGCCGTGGAAAGTGAAAGAGTGAAAGGAATAGAAATGAAAGTGTCAGTGACACTGTAGCTCACCACAAAAAAGGACACAAATGAGTGAGTGAGAAGAAATCAGTTTTAATTGAGCAACCATCGACGTACATTATAGAAACGATCATTATATCATAATAATAATATAATAATAATAGTATAAATCATAATATGTTCATAGCAGGAATTTTGCATTAAAGATATTGTCAATTGAAAATCTTGTAAACGATCCAGACGAGTGTGACACACAGACTGTTTGTATCTGCGTGTCTATATAATATGCTATATAATTGCCAAACCCAACCCTAATTTGCATAATTTTTTTTAAATATCAAAACCCCTAGCCCCTTATTCATTCACATACCAAAATGAGCAAAATCGCTTGAACCTGAACTGACTAAATGGCAATTCCCATTTTTGCCAAAAAATGCCGTGCTCGAAAGTACGTCGACTCGGCGTGCTCACAAAATAGGACGTTTAAATGGGAGCATAGGCAGTAAGAACTACACCCAATTTCAAACATATGGTTAAACGGTCCTGAGTTATCGTTTTGACCGTAGCCAATTGTTGACGGACGGACGGCCGGACGGACGTACGACGGACGACGACCCATGGCAAATAGCTCAGCTTGACGATGTCCAGTGAGCTTAATAAAAGCGAGGCGAGTGCGAGAGAGAGGGTAAGAGAAGGCGAGAGAGGTAAAAAATAGCGCGCGAGGGGGTTGCGAGACAGTAGAAAGAAAGCACAGATATTGTATTTATATATATATGTATATATATAATATATATATATATATATATATATATATAATATAATGACTGAACGTTTCCCCCATGGTGCCAGGTAGCATGTTTGCACGGCCGCACACAATACGATGCGGGTCTGTAAGCACGGCACATTGTGACCAATCGACAATACTCGGCCCTACAATGAATAAAGACTAGCATTGAGAGATGCGGCCAGATATGGGCCTCTTGTATAGAGAGTGAACCCAAAAGCGATACGGCACAGCGTGCTTGCAGGGCGCCGTAGTTCCGTGTATTCTCTGTACCTCCTAATATTGGTTGTCCGGCTTGTTATTACGGGGCCTTACTATAAATATAACCCCCAGTTTTCTCCTCTGCTTGGCGGCGCTAGTGATGTTCATCAGTAGTGTACGTCGCATATATCGCAAGGACTCTCACGTAATGCGGAGTGATAATAATAGTAATTCTATTATTATTATATATAGTATATCTAATAATGTTATTATTATAGATTATTACGTTTAATATGAATCTATTATTATTCACTCGTATCTCGATGATCAGGTTTTTACGATTCATGTCGCCACGGTCTCGTTAGCACCGAATTCCTTAGACTGTCGCTTAACCCGCCGATCTGTACCGTAACGGTAATGCGTCCGAGCGAGGGTGGTGCCCATCTGATGTTAATTGACGCGCCAAAGTGCGTGAGGTCGGAAGTTAGATGTAGCGCGCGACGATTGCTGGATGTTTAGTGCGCATCAGTTGCTATATTGCTATTTGCGCCGCAATGAGAGAGAGAAAGAGCGAGCAAAGAGGTAGAGAGAGAGAGATAGCGACAAAGAAGAGAGAGAGAGAGAGATAGCGAAACAAGAGAGAGAGAGAGAGAGAGAGAGAGATAGGCGAACAAAGAGAGGAGAGGAGAGAGAGAGAGAGAGAGAGAGAGAGAGGAGAGAGATAGAGAGGGAGAGAGAGAGAGTGAGAGCGAGCAAGAGAGAGAGAGAGAGCGCGCGCGAGCAAGAGAGAGAAAGAGAGAGAGAGAGAGAGAGAGAGAGAGAGAGAGAGAGAGAGAGAGAGAGAGAGAGAAACTGGAGCGCATCGTGAACTTGATGACAACACGACACGACATCGGCTTTTCAGTGCCTCCCCTTCGCACTCGCCCATTTGCGCTCGCGTGGTGATGTCTGTATCGATTCTGCGAAGCGATTTTGACTTGCTTAGGAAGAAAGGCACCCAAATCCCTCAAGATAGATCCAACTCCGCGAGGAAAGACTTTCTATTTCGCAACGAAAGACACCGTAACTCCGTAAAGAACGATACATAAACTGAAAGGATAGACGCGTACAACTCTTGGCGAAAGACGCCTAAATCGGGAAGAACGATAAATATAGCGGGAGAAAACCAGGGACGTCCTCGTCCGTACACCGCGGTCCCGTCTTTAAAAGACGCCCGGTGACGTAGGATGAACCTGTTACCTAGCAAGGTGCGTATATGTACTCTTGAATAGTATATAGTAAATATATATATATCATATGTGTGTGTGTGTGTTGTGTGTGTGTGTGGTGTGATGTGTGTGTTGTGTGTGTGTGTGTGTGTGTGTGTGTGTGTGTGTGTGTGTGTGTGTTGTGTGTGTGGTGTCGCGGCGCCGGTGCGTGCGTGCGTGCGTGCGTGGCGTGTTGTGCGTGTGCGTGTGCGTGTGGTGTAGATTACTTTGCAATGTGAGAATATGCTTTAATCTCATGCCTCGATGATTTCAGCAGCTGGTCATTCGCCTCTAACGAGGGGAAAAGTCCTCACGTGACGACCCTGATCTTCATCGCTTTATCTCACGGCGTTGGTATATATTTCGTATAATTAAAAAGTGGTCAGTTTATATATATATAATATATATATATATATACGTGTGCGTGTGTGTGCGTGTGCGTGTGCGATGATGCGTGTGCGTGTGCGTGTGCGTGTGCATTTGCGTGTGCGTGTGTGCGTGCGTGCGCGCGCACACGCGTGTGTGTGTTATTGTAATTAATTGAGGTGTCCTAGTCCTGTAATTTACCTATACCCTTTAATTTATTCACGTGTAAGCGTGTGGCTATCTGGGGGGGGGGGAGGAAAAGATTTGCTTGTTCAGCTGTCCTTCGTGGATTAAAATGAGGCGTACAATAATAATAGCATGGGTGAATAATGAGAAATTGTGTCATATTTATTATGTATTTATGTATGTATGTATTATTATGTATTTTGTATGTATTTATGAATGTATGTGTCCTTATTCACCCCTAATATTAGTCATTCGTTTGCATGTTTAATCAAATATTTCTTCAGCTCTTCGCATTTTTTTCGTTATAGCTACAGGGGAGAGAAGCTAAATTGGTTTATTTACATGAACAATTAAATGAATACTGTATTAGATTTTTTACGATTAGATTGTTCTATGTAATTTCACTGTATTCACAAATTCGACGAAAAAGTGACCTCTACCCTGATTGAACAGAATTTTAAAATGGCGAAAAATAGATAAAAATAGCATAACTTAACAAAACCTAGATAGTTGCCTGAAGCACCAATTGTTTCCTGTAGTTATGCCGGTGGCTAATTATTCGAGGAAACTTATATGCCGCCGGAACAAACACGGAATTGAATAAACATGTGATAATAGTGAGATAATAATAGCGTGAGATTTAACTCGCTCGGTTCAGCGTACCTGAACCTCATTCGAGAAAAAAAAACGGCGTTGGCGCGTAAGAGTAAATACGACCATGTTTTGCCAACTAACTTTTGTAATTTTGGTCCCACATCATAATTACACATCGTGGTGTAGACACAGCTCTTAGATGACGTCACCTCATCCGCAGGTGACTGTCAGAGAGGCGTCTTCTCTTGAGCCGCATTCCCAGCAAGACTACGGAGTTAGCCGTGGCAGCTATGTCGCCCCCGAACTCGACCATAATGGACGAGAGGAGACAATTACAGGTGAACACGGAAGCGATGTACGTGTTCTCTGCGCCATGGCCTAGTTATTCGGCATTGCCATGTGTGGAAGTGCTCCAGCTGTTTACTTCAAGTTTTTAAATTGAAACTACATGACGTTCAATATTGTGTTATTAAAATTATTAGCTTTTTGATTAGCTTTCGTGCATTGTAGTTAAATAATCAGATATGCAAGCACCACACTCAAACTATATGTTATGAATTTCGTGCAATGGTACGGGACAAAAGAAGCTGAGCTAAATAAGATGTAATCCCACTAATATCACAATGTCTCAGCCGTACCACAACTCATACACTCCAGCCAAACGCATCTTGCCGAACAAAACACACGTGTGCACATACACGCGCATCGCACACGCAGGACCCGCATGCAACACTACGCCGCCGCCAACGGTGCTGTGTGTGCTGTATGCTGTGTGTGCTCGTGTGTGTGTGTGTGTGTGCCTGTGCTGTGTCGCGCGACCGTGTGTGCGTCGTGTGTGTGCGCGCGTGTGGTGTCGTGCTACGCCGTGCGCGTTGTCCCGTGGGACTGGAGAGAGAGAGAGAGAGAGAGCAGCGAGCGAGGCGAGATAGTCACTAGAACAGACAATTAAAGTGCCCTACGCTATACGTAACAACTGTTACTCGCGCCGTTGCGAGATGTGCAGGTTTACTGTAAACACGATTACGGACAGGAAAGATGATGAGTGTCGAGATACGCCCCTCAGGCCGTTCACGGAAAGGTCTACGTTGCGAGGAACCATTTCCGGTACCAGGCTGCGGTGTCGCACGCACGGCGAGCAGGAACACGCAGTGCTCCAGTTTCCCGTGACCGGGCTGCGGACGCAAGAAGTGGATACGGTGAGCATCAGAGAGAAACCCGTCGAGAGTTAATCAAGCACTGATTGAGTGAGAGAGAGGAAGAGAGAGAGAGCAATGAGGCGAAACGTGTGGACGATAAAGAAAGAGAAGAGGAGAATGAGCGAGGATGTGTGGAACGATAACGAAGGAGGGAATGTATATGAGTTGTATACACGCGGAACGAGAAGGAGAATTAAGGAAAGGTATAGCGAGAGGGTGAAGAGAGGGGGCGCGGTCGAAGTAAAGGAAGAAAGCACGCACACACACACGTGCTCCACGCAAAATACGATGGAAAAAATGCTAGAAGTTATAGTTATAGAGTGCAAGAGGAATATAGGAGAAGATAGCACGTTATAGTCAGTCGGAACCGCATCCAGACAGCCGTACATAGATACACGATATCATAGATATCATAGACATCATAGATAGCATCAGTATAGCAGAAATTCGATGCCATCGCTTGTCTGGACTCAAAGACTGATTAACTGACTGACAGACTGACTGACCGACCGCGACGACGCGACGCGACCGATACCGAGCCTGACCGACCGAACGAACCGACGACCGACGACCGACCGACCGACCGACCGACCGACCGAACAGACGATCCCGAGCCGGCGACCGACCGACCGACCGACCTGACGACCGCCGCGACCGACCGATCGCGACCGCCGACCGGTACCGACCGACCGACCGACCGATCCGACCGACCGGAGCGACCGACCGACGACGCGACCCGAAACCGACGCGAGCCGACGACCGACCGACCGACCGACCGACCGACCGACCGGACCGAGCCGACCGGAGTCCGACCGACCGACGCGACCGACCGAGCCGACTGACTTACTTTGAACCAAGACTGACCGACCGACCGACCGACTGACTGGATGACTGACTGACTAAATCACTGATTAACTGACTAGCTGCCTGACTAACTGACTAAATCACTAATTAATTGACCGATTAACTGATTGACTAACTAACCAACTGACTGATTAACTAACTGACTGACTAACTGACTGTGCAGGGCGACGACTACAGCGGCGGCACGGTGCGCTTTGAGAACACCGTCGTAGTGCTGCACGACGCCGCGCTCGGCATCATAGAGGCTCCAGATCGCGCGCTGAGACTCGTCTGCGAGTTTGAGAAGCTGGAGCATCTCGCCGTCGACACCGGTGTCCGCGTGCCGTAAGTGTTGCTGTCTTTTTTTTTTAATCAAGCACGCACAAACAACGCACCACTTCAAAACAAAACCCCTGGAAAAAATTCCCGAGTGATGTTTATAGGCTATTATAATAATTAATAATACTAGCTACAACTTATAACATTAAATCATAATCATAATAATAGGGGCCTAATAATAATTAATAATAATTAATAATAAATAATAATAGTTTATAATAATAATAGCCGCAGCAGCAGAAGAAGGGTAAAAGTGGAGGTCGCGGTGGTGGTGGCGGCGGCGGCGGTGGCGGCGGTGGCGGCGGCGGCGGCGACGGCGACGGCGGCGGCCGGCGGCGGCGGCGGAGGGCGGAGGCGGGTGTGGTGTGGTGTAAGTTGTTGCTTGTGTGGTGGTGGTGTGGTGGTGGTGGTGGTGGTGGTGGTGGTGGTGGTGGTGGGTGGTGTGGTGGTGTGGTCGTCGTCGTGGTCGTGGTGGTGGTGGATGGTGGTCGTGGGTGGTCGTGGTCGTGGTCGTGGTGGGGTGGTGGTGGTCGTGTGGTCGTGGTGGTCGTGGTGGTGGTGGTGGTGGTGGGGGTGGTGTGTGGTGGTGGTGGTGGTCGTGGTGGTGTGGTGGTGGTGGTCGTGTGGTGGTGGTGGTGGTGGTGGTGGTGGGAGATGGTGGTGGTGGTGTGGTGGTCGTGGTGGTCGTGGGTGGGGGTGGCCGTTGCAAGCGGCAGCGGCAGCAGTGGTGGCGGTTCGCAGCGCCCGGTAAAGTGACTGCGCGGTATTGTTTGCATGGCAGTGACATTCGTACAAATAATCTTCTCGATGTCTCAGATGATCAGACTCGATGGCCCATACAGCCCTACAAAGCTCGCCGTGTTCCGACGTGTTCGCTCCAAGATCGTTAAGGGCACAGACCTCATGGCTCCCTTCAAGCGCGCACTCATCGTGGGTCAGGAGCGAAACCTTGTCTCGACTCTGAAGGACAACAGTACGTAGGCTTTTGTCGTTAGCAGCTTAATTTTTAGCCGTTGTGTCGCGCTGAAACGAGCCAGCCTACGTTTTCCCGAGTGGAATCTTTCGTGAAAGACTGAATACCGTGATATATATATAGTCTAAGAGCTAATAATACCTAATTAGCTGGTAATTATTACTCTTGAGTATATATAAATTCGGATTCCTAAAGAGAGCGTGGCGCATGTTTCGCGTTCGCATTCACACTGGTAATGATCCCGGATTCTTGCATGGCGCATTGCTAACTATTCTGCGCCGTGTCCTGCATGGCACTGCGCCATTCGTTTACGCTGTACCGACGAGTGCTTGCGCGTTTCCAGGTCATTGGACATCACGGTGACAAACTGCGTAGCAGATGACGGTGTCAACTCTATCATGCTCATTGACGAACATGGGTGCGTCTTCTGCGGATCACTGTGACTCTTGAACAATCAGATCTCGTGATAATATAAGAAGTAATTTTAAATCTCATGAAATCTATAGTGATCGAACATATTTGCTATAATTTCGAAACTGTTGCCGAAAGGTTAATCATAATAATCTATCATGAAATAATTTATTAGTTTTATTGGCGACGTCTCATTAACATGTACGGCCGGTATTTTATGTAAAGGATATTGTTGTCATAGTAATACGGGTGATACAAAGTGACGTGACATTGGCTTATCGTAAATCGTTGATCGCTAATACGATTCGAATATCGCGTAAACGTTTGGAATGGCGACGCTACGATTAGTGACTCATACTATAAAAAAAAAAGTTCTCCATCGGCTTTGGGCAGCTAAACCATTCGTGGCCTTCATAACAGATTTTGAATGGCGCTTTCGCGCATTGTAGTGAATTCTGAAACGATGAAGAAATAACATAGGATAGAGTAATAAGCAATTGAGATAAATAACAATAATAAGCGATCATTCACATGCAGCTGTCCACAGATAGGCAACTTGGTTACCGCATTCAACAAACTGGCGGGAATTGATCGCGAAGCACGGGTTGGATCACCTTGGGCTGCGCATCACGGCATTCAGTTGCCCAAGACAGACCGCATGTCTACTTCCAGTGCTCCGTTGCTCGTATGCTTCCACAAAATCTATGACGTAAGTGCTGTGCTTCTGAATGCAAGTAGTTGGTTTATCAGGTCAAACCTCAAAATGACTCCATTTTGATTACGTAGGGTAAGCGTGTACAATTCACACGTGGGCGCTCTGTATCAAGCTATGAGCACTGTGGTAATATTGCTAGCATGCATTTAGGCAATATAACCCAGCACTGTAAGCCTATATAGGCTAGGACACTGTAGCTTATATAGCAAGCACTGAGCAATTATAGTGACAGCTGTAGCAATATAGATAGCAATAGCTACGATATGTACAATATAGCAGCTAAGTCGCTAGCACACATTCGTTGAACGCTAATTATTGGAACTTAGCCATACTAATTGCCACACGCCGCAAACGCGAGCTGTTCGACGTTACTGATAATGTAACTAGAGGCCTAGTTCACTTCCTTCTAATTACATTTATGGGCTTTCAGCCGCCTTGCCTACGCGGGTGGCTGCATCTAACGACAACCGGCAGGTTTCTGGTAGACGCTCCGAGCAACACCCAATCTTCTGGCGACGGCAACGTTCGGGGATTGGTACACGGCAGCGGCTCAAAGGCACCTTCGTCGTTTCCACTGCGCTGCCTCAGCGTAATATGTAAAGTAAACTCCATCAGACCGCTGATCGCACCGTCCGGCAAAGCAACTGAACTGCTATAGTGTACGAATCGTGACCCCCAGAACAACGAGCTAAGAATTATCGCAGACTCGAGGAAAGGACTGGGCTATGCGTGAAGAGTGAGGCGCATAAGTCAGGATCAGGACGGGTATGGTAGCGTGAGGCAAGATACAGAATTCCCGGATCCCGTCAAGGAAGATACTGATGTTATACAGCCGTGAAGTCAGAACATACATCATCGGGATGGATAAATCTACGAGACATAGGTCGGATACATGAAAATCTTAACAAGCTTCCAAACTTCCGGTGATATCCCCTACGATGCACAGTTTTCTAATGGAGCCAGTTCTAAGGGACCAGAGCCTAGGGGTGATGGTACATACGCGCCACGAATTCCAATGGCCGATAATTATGATGACTTGGTTCCTAGGGATGAATTTAATTGAGACTGTGGGTCGCTAAAGAAAAGAACATATACGGAAACTGGTCCCGAAGAGAAGCTTACTGATTATCCGAATGAAGAGACGGCGTGTGATTTCAGGGAAGGAAACGTTTACCAGTCCGGGAGAAAGAAACCCGGAAAGAAGAAAGTGCAGTTGACAGAGCTATACGTTAACTCTCGACGATTTCCCTGACTCTCGAAGACCCCAGGCAGACCGGTTACTAAACACGTAGGCGCCACCTAGTGAACGCAGGTATGTGCTCGTATAATGGACTACTTGGACTACAGGGCAGAAATTTTTAAGGCGACAGAGTAGCGGCTCACGTTTTAATGAAAAAGGAGAACGTGGCGGGGACCCCAATCAAAGAATAGATAACAACTTCCACGTCATGGCAAGTAGACACGAGATGCACCTGGTGACAACATTTATGGAGCTAACCGCCTGGTAAGAGGAAGATACGAAGCACCACCAGGTGACAGAAGCTCTGGAGCGCTAACCGGCATATAGGAAGGTTACGAAGCGCCGTCTGGTGAGAGAAAGTAGCGAAAATGCACAAGTGAAAGAAGGTATGAAGTAGCCCCGGGTGATAAGGAAGTACGAAAGCGCCTCCGGTGAGAGAAAGTACGAAGTGCCCATCTGGTGATAGGAAGGTAAGAAGCGCCGCCGGTGGAGAGAAAGTACGAAGTGGCCAGCCTGGTGATGATGAGGTACGAAGCGGCCTCCTGGTGAGAGAAAAGTAACGAAATGCCACCAGGTGAAAGTAAGGTCTGGAGGCTAACCCGGTGAGAGAGGCTACGAAGCGCCGCCCTGTGGGAAGAAAGTAACAAATGCCACCAGGTGCAAGAAGGTTATGAAGCGCCGCCGTGTGAGAAAAAGTACGAAATGGCGCACCAGGTGAAAGAAGGTCTGGAGGGCTACCCCGGTGAGAGGAGCTACGAACGCCGCCTGGTGGGAGAAGAGTACGAAATGCTACGCAGGTGAAAGAAGGTATGAAGTACACCCTGGTGATGAAGAAGGTACGGAAGTGTTACCTGATAACCAACAGGTATGCCGATCCTCGGCTGGCAGGTAACGATCCGACATCAAGAAAAGACAAAGCCAATAGACCCGCACCATACCGAACGGTTCAACACTTACATACAACGACCGGCAAATTTTTAATACCAATCCGATTCCCTGATGGCTGGGAGAAGAACGACATAGAAGCATCCACACGAATGAGCACGCCCGCCAGCGTATGGTGGCTCGCTTCTATGAGTCGCAGGGGCTGAAGAAGGGAGTCCCGAGATGACGAATGGCTCAAACGAGTAAAAAAAACGAACCTATTTCACGGCGGCTACAGTATAATTATACTACAGCACGTTTATACGCGCGTGTAAATAACCTACCATTTAACTTACCGGCGTCTTTCGTCTTTACCATTAGACACTTTTGAGTGTATTATTAGAGAACTGGCTCGAATTTGTAGAATTAAGACAGTAACTATCATTACATTTACAAGAGAGGTTTTCGTTTCATTTCGAATAACGTTTAACCGTTAAGTCGCTGCGTCCAGTGTACACCGTAAATCTCCTGTCTATCACTAACGTGCGACGAAGCAACGAAAATCTCCTCAGCATTAATATCCGTTGATCGCATCTCCCTTCCAATCATAGCAGGCTACGTAATCGCCACATTGACTCTTCTCTACAATGATGGAAACACTGACGCGTGAGTTCGGCTATCCACGGGAAAGGTGGCCCCTTAACGGGGCGACAGCGGAGAGATGTAGTGGCAGCACGTGCTTTTTAAAAAGTAACACGGACGTAGATTTCAGCTAAGATGAGGAGCAGGAAAGTGATCGTCTCCTGATCGCAGGAGAGACGCAGCAGCCAAAATGTAAGTACGAACTGTGGCATGTGCATTGAGTATCGATAGCACTGATCAGAGGTGATAGCGATTATATATGTTGCGCGTGATGTAAGTGTATAGTCGATGATCGCGATGATGACGATGATGACATGAATGATAGCTGGCACTAATCGTGATGGCGGATGCGATTAAAACGATAGTGGCTGTTAACTAGTCTTGACGTTCGATGTCATAACCTATAGTGCGGTCCAAAATGCTGCTATATTGCTGTAAATTCATGCCACAGAGTGCAGATTATTGATTTAGTTTAATCGTACTTAATAATGTATTTCACAGATGAACCGAGTTACTAACCGGATGTTCTAAAGACGGGCTGCATTCCTCGCTGGGGCTTTTTTCTGTAACAGTAAGCATCAGTCCTGAACACTGTTCTGTTGTTGTTGATTTTGTGTGCATTGCGTAGTACTGCCTTCAGCTATCGAGGCCACCTCAGATCGTACGAACATTAGCCCACTCTATCAAGTAATACGACTAACTAAAGCCGTTGCTAAGTATAAGGTGATTTTACGCCCAAGCGGTTGATAAAGTAAAGCCGTGATAAGGCAAAACTCTTGCCTTGATATTTCCTGCACTGACTATCAGAACGCGATGTTTGTGGAGCGTATACAATAAACCGTTTCCGAATACGTAGACTTTGACGTTCAGTTTGGCGCTACCGTAAACAAATGGAGTCAGTGCAAATAAATGGCTACCTATAAAGAGATTACAAAAGTATTCACAGTTTGGAAAAAAAAAAATATGGGTTTTTTTTAAATAATTAGGTTGG